GCTTCCACTCTAAAATCAGGAACAAGAAAAAGATTTTCACTGTTACCTCTCTTGTTCAATATAATTTTGGACACACAAGCCACAGCAATTAGACAAGAGAAAGAAATAAAATGAATAAGGATAGAAAAGAAAGAAGTTAAACTCTTGTTATTTGCAGATGACAAGATACTCTATAGAAGACCTCAAAACCTTCACCAAAATACTTCTAGATTTAGTTACCAAATTCAGTGGCATAGCTGGTTACAAAGTCAACAATCAAAAATCAATAGCCTTCCTGCACACAAATAACAGACACACACAGAGAGAAATTGGAGAAACAACCCCTTTTACAATATCATCCAAAAAAATGAAATAACTAGGAATCAATCTAACAAAGGAAGTAAAAGGCTTCTGCACTGAAAAGTACAGTACTCTGAGAAAGGAGATTGAAGAGGATATCAGGAAATGGAAATATATCTCTTGTTTTTTGGATAGGAAGAATCAATATAGTTAAAATGGCCATACTTATAAAACTGTTACACAGATTCAATGCAATCTCATTCTGAATCACAACAGCACATCTCACATAATTAGAAAATTCATTTGGAACAAGAAGAGACCTAGAATATGAAAGACAATACTGTCCAGCAAAGGCATCATAGGATTAACACAATCCCCTATTTTAAATTATACTAAAAAGTTACTGTGGGAAAAATGGCCTAGCACTTGCAAAAGAACAGACGTGAGGATCAATGGAACAGACTAGAGGGTGCAAAAAACTCCATACATACTCAACAACCTCACTGACGAGCCTTCACTGGAGGAAAGATAGCCCATTTAATAAATGGGGCTGGAAAAACTGGCTTTCCACATGTTAAAGATTGAAACTACACCCATATCTTTCATCATGCACTATCCTAAAATTAAAATAGATAAAAAATCTAAATATTAGCACAGAAACACTAAATCTACTGGCAGATAAGTTAGCTAGAACTCTTGAACACATTGGCAAGAAAAAGGCTTTATGACCAAAACCTCAGTTATAGGGGAACTAGCACAAATAATCAACAACTGGGATCTCATCATATTAAAAAGATTCATTACAGCAAGAGAAACCACCAACAGAGTGAAGAGACAACTTATAACATGGGAAAAACTCCTTACTGTCTGTTCCTAAGACAAAGGCCTACTATCTAGAATATATAAGAAATTTAAAAAATCATGCCTCTAAAATTAAAATATGCAATCCAAAAATGGGCATCTGAAATACATGCACATTTCTCAAGTGAAGAAGTAGAAGCAGCAAATAAACACATGTTAAAAACTTCAACATCACTGGTCATTCATGAAATGCAAATTAAAACAATGTTGTGATTCCTCTTCACTCCAGAAAGAATGGCTGCTATCAAAAACATCAACCAATAACAAATTCTGGAAGGGCTGTGGAGAAAAAGCAACCCTTTTCCATTGTTAGTGCAACCACTTTGTAAATCTGTGTGGAGATTTAAAAAAAAAACTAATGCTAGAGGTTCCATTTGATCCATCTATACCTCTTCTTGGTATCTCCCTGAAAGAATTAAAGGATCATTCCAGAGTAATATATGCACACCCATGTTTATAGCAGCACAGTAATGGATAAATCTAGAAAATATCCCAAATGCTCATCATTTGACAAGTGGATAAAGAGGATGTGTTTTTTTTTTTAATACAATGGAGTACTACTCTGCTATAAATAAGGATGAGCTTTAGACATTTATAACTAAATGGATGGACCATGAGACCGTCATCCTAAGTGAAATAACTCAGAATCATATATTTAAATACTGCCTTGTTTCTCTGGTGTGAGAAACCTAAAAGAGAAATGAAGACTAAACTGTATAATAGGTACTGGGAATTGGGAAGGAAATGTTCAAACAGGCAGGGGAACAAGGGATAAGGGAGGTAGAAAGGAAGGAAGGAACAAGAAAAAAGTGAAAATAGAAGAAAAAATAAAACAACACATTTGTACATAAGGAAAGGAGGGGAGTTGAGGGGGAAAATGGGATAAAATAAAATAAAATGTATTTTAAAAACTAAAGTAAGAAAAGCTTAAAGGTAGGAAATAAGCTTAAGTTATAAACTATGTATCAGTATTTGGCTAGAGAAGAAAAGAAGGGGTGAACCCACTCATTCAAGTCCTTTTATAAGTATCTTTATTTTATTCATAAAGGATTCACTCTCAGTTTCCTCCATTACTGCCTACAATAAACAGGCTCAAATCTGGCACAGAGTATGGTGCATAATGATTGTTTGAACTCACTCATCCATAACAACTTTGCACTACTGCCCTGGTGATTATCAGCTATGATGCAAATCCATTAGGAGTGCAGCACCCACTTGAACTGCTCTATATTTCTTCCTCGAGGTCTAGGGGGCAAAGGCAACTGACATCAAGGAAGCTTATGATGATGCTTGTTGTGTCTTGACTAAAGAAGCCCATTGTTTCTAGCCCAGGAGTGCCTGCTACTCTGACACCTCTCACTAAAAATGTGACAAATTGGGCTGGGGATTTAGCTCAGTGGTTCTACCACCTGCCTTGCAAGTGCATCCTGAGTTTGGTCCCTGGTACAAAAAAAAAAAAAGTGACAAATTAATCAGTGGGACTGCAAGCTAGGTAAAAATCATAGTCCTTAAATTATCCTTGGGAAAATAAGACAAATTTGAGCCCAGTAGCTGTATGTTGAGAAACCATCTACAACCCAACAGATAGTGTAGGTAATCATGTTTATATCACTATTAAATATTTTATCACTATTAAATATTTATATCACTGTTAAATCGTGTTTATATCACTTTAAAGGCCACAGTGCAGCTGAGAGATGAGTCCACGCTGCAACATTACCTTTTCACCTTGTAAGCTATGCATAAAAGTATGCATACATCACTACACAATCTAACTGTTTGTCATATCGTCGTGTACCATTTATTTTCCTATGCTACCATAGTGAAAAACATCCTTTTCAAGTACATATGTATTTCTGATTCTCTTGGCCACTAGAATTAGTAAGTATTTACACACATCAATCAATTTCACATGAAAAGACTATTTTTAGTGATGCCAATGACAGTGAACCCTGTCAAACACATGCATTACATTAGTCTTCAAACAAATCACCATCCTGAGAATTGAGAGAGATGGACAATAGAAGCATCGTGACCTGATGAAAGCTTTCCTGGGATGAAGTTTCCAGACCCCATCCTTACATTAAAATTAAATGGAAAATGTTTAGCCTTTTAATATGATATAGTGGTCCTCTCTTGGGCACCCCTACTGCTCTCTTCCAGTGTAACAATGAATTTTTAAGTTTTCTATATTCCTTGACTATTGATAAATTCCTTCGCCAGACCAAATGCGGATTTGGTCTTTCACATGTCACAGCTTGAAGGGCTGAAGGGTGAGAGTCAGAATCAGGAAATTGGAGGGGATTCCAAGAAGCTGGAGGGGTAGAAAACTGGAAAATAAACATTTACTTGTAAAATCACTTGATCAATCTCATTTTTGGTTAAGCCTGTGTCTATAAATGGTGGATATGGGTGAATATTAAACTTGGTCTAAACCAAAAGATCTGAGGATGCAGGTTTTTCAAAGTAAAATAGATTCCTTGCTAGCTTTGTAATCTTCACAGTTCACTCTAGTTTTCCTAATTACTGGCAGTTCTAGAAGATTCTACATAAAAATTTTTTCTTACAAGTGGGTTAAATCATTCCTCTAGTCCCCAAACCACCACCCTCTCTTGTCCTTGCATTGTTTTCCAATCTTAAATTAATAAAGAAATCCTTTTTTTAAATTGGGTGAAAAATGGGCATCTGAAATGAACAGACATTTCTCAGACAAAGAAGTAAAAGCAGCAAGTAAATATATGAAAAAATGTTCCGCATCAATGGTCATTTGAGAGATGCAGATGAAAACAACACTGAGATTCCACCTCACCCCACAAAGAATGGCTGCTATCAAGAAATCAAACAATAACAAATGTTGGCGGGGTTGTGGGGAGAAAGAAACCCTTCTCCATTGTTGGTGAGAGTAAAGACTGGTGCAACCACTGTGGAAATCAAGATGGAGATACCTCAAAGAGCTTGGACTGGAGGTTCCATTTGACCCCGCCATCCCTCTGCTGGGTATCTTTCCAAGAGAACTAAAAGAAACATATCACAGAGAAGTATGCACACCCATGTTTATAGCGGCACAGTTTGTAATAGCTAAATCTTGGAATCAGCCCATTTGCCCATCCATTGGAAACTGGATAAAGAAGATGCGGTTTTTCTATAAAATGAAATATTACTCAGCTATAAAGAATGAGAAAATAGATTCATTCATAGGAAAGTGGATATATATTGAGGATATACTCCTAAGTGAAATAAATAAGTCACACATGTGTAAATACCAAATAGTTTCTCTGGTGTGAATAAACTATAATAGTACATAAGATCCTAATGAGATTACTGACATTGTGAAATGGGATGAAAGGGGCGAAAGGTGTAGGGAAGGTGGGATGTGTAGGGGAAGGGTAATAAGGGAAAAGAAAAAAATATGAGATAAAGAAAAGATGGAAATAAAGTGTTTGTAGATGGGGAGGGGAGGAGGGGTGAAGGGAGGGCAGGGACAAGGGGAAAAAATGAGAACCAAGACCTGTCATGTAAAGGTACAAGATCCCAACAATGAATGTAACTGTACTGCATCCCTAAAATGTACCAATAAACTCAATTAAAGATGAAAAAATAAAGAAATCCTTTATTCAAAACTAATTCGAAACACTTATTCTTTCCCTCCCACCCTCAGCAATCTTCCACCAAACTTGCACTTCCCCACTCCCACAGCCATCCAAACTCCTCTCACTCATCTGCTCCCCTCGATACCTCTCCACATATACCCTAATTTGAAATGTGTGAAATATGTACCCACAAACATAGGGAAGATGTGACTTAAAAGAACGTAATCAAGGGACAACAAGTTAACTGAACTGCCAAGTTTGTCTTTATTATTTTGGCAAATAAATTAGATTTGGAAATCACGCATGGCGTATTTCTCAGTCCATTCTCGAGCGAGTCTCTCATACTCTCTTCGGTCCTTTAGATACATCTTGGCAATTTCAGGAACCAAAGGATCCTGCGGATTCGGATCGCACAACATGGAGCAGATGGACAAGAGTACTTTGGAAATTGTGAGCACTGGTGACCACTCGGCCTTGAGGATATCTAAACAGATGCCTCCATTTTTACCAATATTCGGATGGTAAATTCGGGTAGTAAATGCTATCTTCGGTGGTTTGAATGGGTAACCTAAAGGAAACCAGATGCTTAGGAAGAAGACACCTCCCTGATAGGGGCTGTCATTGGGACCCATTATGGTTGCTTGCCACTTGAACATATCTTTGTCTACAGGACCAGCAGAGCAGTGAGATGGGGGGTCACGAGTCATATCCAGGAGCTCTTTCTGAATGCGCTTTAGAGCCATAGTTCACAAATCTTGGTACTCTAAATTTGGCGCAGTCCCGGTTGCCTGTTACAGGGTATCAGTGATGTTGGGCTGCAACAAACAACATAGTTAGAGGCCAAGTGGATAGATGGTTGGGCTTGAGGACTGGTTCTGGGTTTGTAGGGGGTGCCAGAAAAGATAGTCAGGAGCAGAAAGGGCCGTCAGAAGACAGTTGGCATCTGGTAATAAACCGCACTTACCATCCTGCTGGACACCTGTGGCTCTGGGCCACGGTGCTTTAGGGAAGTTGAGATTCCACCACTCACCGGGAGGCTACCAGTTCAGAGGCTGCTGCTGGGAGAAGCCAGAGCTCCTGCTTGGAGCAGCTTGCCTGGCGTTGGGGTGGGGGCTGGAGCACAGGGTGGAGTCAGGGCGAGGCTGAGTGTTGGTGTTGAAGGTGGGGATGGCTGTATAGTTTCTCACTTGGCACTTGCTCTCTTTGGCTAGTAATTAGGGCTGCCAGTTACCAAAATAAATGAAATGAGTTTGATGAATTATCCCCTAAAACTCACTCAGAGTCCCATTTCGTATCTTTAAGTCTTCTCTGGGCTGGAGCACAGGGTGGAGTCAGGGCGAGGCTGAGTGTTGGTGTTGAAGGTGGGGATGGCTGTATAGTTTCTCACTTGGCACTTGCTCTCTTTGGCTAGTAATTAGGGCTGCCAGTTACCAAAATAAATGAAATGAGTTTGATGAATTATCCCCTAAAACTCACTCAGAGTCCCATTTCGTATCTTTAAGTCTTCTCTCTAGGTATATCTTTGAGAGTAAGTAAAACACATCATGAACATTGATTAATTGTATATATATTTTCCAAGACACACAATCTATATAAATAACTTTAACAAATTCAATATTCAGGTAATACTTTTAAAAAAACTTTGTAGTGTTCTGGCAATTTTATGTTTTATGATGATATAAAATCTGCAGAAATTTCAATTTGGAGTTAAAACCAGTTTAATTTTTGAAGAACACGACAGAAGAGGGATGGGCAGCCAAAAAAGAGAGAAACTATTACTTTATCTGCTACATATGTATACATTTAACATGGATATAATCATTTATTCTAATACTACATCGATATTCATTTTGAGAGTTGATAAAACATACTCTTAAATTTTTAATCCCTTTTGTAAAAGATTCAGTCTAGGATCAGGTATATTGTCCTTCCTTGTTATGTCTGTTTAATCTCCTTGAGTCTGAAATGCTCCTGCAGCTTTGTGTACCTTTTTAAAATCGCTGGTATTTTTAAAAAATGCAGCACAACACAAAACCCTCATGCACATTTATGAGCCTTAAATTTTTTCATAATAAAACTTAGTCAATTTGATAGGAAGAGGAAAATGGAAAAGATCGCTCACCTTTATATTATAAATGTTGTTGTGAAGCTAATAGTACTTTATGATGTGTTATATCAGGATGTATTTTCTACTGATTTTTGCAAAAATAGACTAAGCTTACTTTCATTCACAGGGATTTGTATTCACAGTTCTCTATAAAAATTGAGAAACTGACAAATCTTGAGATTATATTTCCATAAGTGGAAGATATGGGAAAAAGCATGTTTTATGGATTCTGATTTCAGATTACATTCTAATGTATATATATATACATACATACATGCATACACACATGCACACACACACACACTTTGAACATACTTATTCCATCACCCTTGCCAATTTCAGAAGCAGTTCTGCAAGGATGCTTTAGTGAGTGTCTAATTGTGTTCTTGTTCCTGAATCCTTTCAAAATGTTTACCTTTCATAATGATTTTGACTTTGCAGAAAAGCCAAAAATCAAAAGGTGCTATATCCAGTGGATGGAGACACATCATAATGTATTTAGGAGCCTGCTTTTCTGTTGGATGGCACTCTCAGCAGCAACATTATTGTGTTTTATAGCATAGTTCATAAAGATCAAAAACATGTTTATACATAGGTGTGTGTATTTTCAAAACTGAATTACAATGTTATTTAAATAAAATATTAATATGTAATAATAAATGGTTCTCCTGTTCCCTTCTTACTCATCTCTTCTCCTGGTTGTACAAATACTTGTCCTCCTCATCCTTTCCTCCATCTCCTCTTCCTCCCCCTCCTCCTCCCCCTTCATATCTTCTTCCTCTTTCTTCCTCCCACCCTTCCTCCTCCCCTTCACCTCTCTCTTCTTACTCCCCCTCCTTATTATCCTTTTCCTCCTCTCCCTCCTCCTCCCCATCCTCTCCATCCTCCCATTCCTCCTCCTCATTGTCCTCTTCCTCCTTCTACTCCTCTTATCTGTTTGCTAAAACAGCTAAAACAAAGAACCACAAATTAAGTGGCTATAAAGAACAGACATTTATTCTCTCTCAGTTCATTAATTTTGAAATCATATTATTGACAGAAACATCTTCCTTATAAAGAGTTATGGGAAAATATGCAGGCCTTGTCCTAGGTTCTGTTTGTTCTCAGCAATTCTTATTCCTTGGCTAGTGGCTGCATCATTCCAATACCTGACTGCTTTCACATAGACCTATTCCTGATGAGTTTTCCTACTTGTCCAAATCTCCTTCTTTTATCAATGATATCAGTCGTTGAATTAAATATCCACCTTTATCAACTGTAGTCTCATCGTTTTTGATTAAGAAGTTCAAAGTTCTGGGTGAATATGAATTTGTGGAGGCCATACTTCAACCTAGTACATTTACTCTCTGCCTTGCAAAATTCATATTTGTTCAATGTTCAAAATATAATATTCACATTCTAACATCTCCATCTGTTTTAATATATTCCAGCATGTGTCAACGTGTAGTGTGTTGGGGGTAAGGGTCGCCCAATAACCAGGACACAGGGGATGCAGAGAAGAATAAAATAATTATAACTGCATGCTTTATTTTAAGAGAGCTAGTCTTTTTATAGAGACTTAGAAGCAGGATATATTAATCATAACATCACCTTAGTACAGACTTCTCACAGACTTCTTACAGACTTCAGGCTGTCAAGATAATGTCTGTCTCCTACTATTCTAAGAGCCAATATTATGGTTATAAAAGTACAAAATAAAATTTTTACACATAAAAACATTGGGAGACAAATAGTCACAAGGCTATTTCCTTATCCCAAGATATATTCTGGCAGGACATTAACATGAAAGCAGAGAAAGTTTACTTTCTCTTCACTTGGCCCGTCAAGCGTCCAAAGCACCTCAAGTCACCTTATAGATCAAGGGCAGAATGGCATAGTTTGTTGACTATATCTCCACAAGCAAGACAGAATTTGAACTGAATACCACCAATTTAAGCAGTTCTAAATTTTCTTACTTGAATAATTTAAGTAAAGTATAGGTGAGACTCTGAGCATGATTCATATTGAGGAAAAAAATGATGTCCTAGAAAGACATTATGAAGCTAACAAGACCCAAAGGGCTAACACAAATACTATGCTACACAGATTGAGAAGTTAAGTAGAAGGGAATAAAAGGGAATCATCAACAGGAAAATAATTCAGTGACAGGAATAAGTCAATAACTTTCAGTAACAACTCTCAGTGTCAAAGATCTCAAATAATCAAAAGACACAGATTGGTGTAATATATCAAAAACCAAAAATCTAACTGTGTGCTATATACAAGAAATACATTTAACACAAAATAGAAATTCTTAGACTAAAAATCAGTGGGCCAGGGATTTAGCTCAGTGTTTCTGATGCCTGCCTTGCAAGTGAAAGGACCTGAGTTTAATCCCTGGTACCAAAATAAATAAATAAAATAAATAAAAATATTTCATACAATGGGAAACCTCAAAAAGCAGGAGTAGTTATCTCATTTTCAGACAGAGTGTTTCATGATAAAACTGATAAAAAGAAAAAAAAATAGTCATTATGCATTGGTTAAGGGAGTAATAATACAAGAAGCAATCACAATTTTAAATATATATGTACCAAACACCAGCCCACTGAACTTCATGAAACAAGCACTATTAGGTGACATTAAGCATTAGATAAACATGAACACAATTATAGTAAGCAGACCTCAATATTCTATGGTCACACATAGATCAACTAGAAAAAATAATCAAAGAAATATTAGAATTGAATCAAACTTTTGAATAAAGAGTATACAGCATACTAGCCAATAAAACATACCAAGGTAAAAGAGAAATAATTGAAACTATCCCATTCATAAAACTATAGCACTATTAAACTAGAAATAAATGGCAAAAAATAGGGAAATTCTGCAAATGAATGAAAAATTTAAATGCATACTTGCATAATCAATGGGTTACAGAAGAGATTAAGGAAAATGTTAGACACTTTCTACAGTCTAAACATAATGTTAGTACAATGTACCAAAACTAAGAACTCAGTGAAAGGGGCTCTAAAAGATAAGTTTATAGCTGGCAATCCCTACATCAGAAAAAAAGAGCAAGTCCAAATAAAGGACCTAAGGATGAACTTGAAGGTCCTAGAAAAACAAGAATAATCCAAATTCAAATCTAGTACACAAAAAGAAGTTAAAAAGGTCAGAGCAGAAACCAATTAAACTGAGACAAAAAAGAAAAATAAAAAGAAAAACTATGCAAAGTATTAAAAGGGTTTGATCTAAGGAAGAATAAAAATAGACAAATCCTTAGAAAATCTTACCAGAAAAAGGAAAGACCCAAATCAATTCAATTAGGAATTAAAAACTTGAAATCACAACAAACACAGGCAAAATCCAGTATTCATAACTTCTTTAAAAAACTGTACTCTAATAATTTGCAGAATTCAGAAGAAATGGATAAATGCATATAAATTTCTAAAATTGAACCAGGAACTTATAAAAATCCTGAATAGTCCAGTAACAATCAATTGAAGCAATAATAAAAAAAAACTTATCAACTAAGTAAATCCCCAGTCTTGATGTATTCACTGCCGAACTCCACAAGAACATCAGGGAAAAATCTAACATCAACATTGCTCAAACTCCAATGAAACTGAAAGGGAATGAGTATTCCCATAGTCATTCCTGCAAATGCATATTAATTAGATTAATAATTAATTACATTTATTTTATGCTTAATATAAATTTAAATTCATGTTGTTTTTATTAATCACAGCCTGCTACCTCATGGCAGTTGAAAAAAATAAAGAGGGAAAAAGCCAAAGAGGAATGTTATAAGAACCTCAGGCAGTTTCCAATATCATGCCTGTGTGACACATTTTCTTCATGCAGGCTCCAACTCCTAAATTTTTATTACTTCTTGGTAATCCTATCTAATTATAAATTCATCAATAGATTAATCCACTGATGTAGGTAGAGCTCTTATAATCTAATGATTTTCAGAAGGCAAACTT